TCGGACGAAATTAAAGAGTGGGTGAGCGTTAATTCATTCAATTGTGATAATGCTATTATTTAAGATTGTTTAACACGCAAATTCTTCATAATTACTTGTTTAGTTATCAACAAATAATGGCATTAATGCTAAAATAGTGCTCAGACATGACACGATTTTAATCTTCTTCGATAGTTACAAATTGTAATCTTAATTTCTATATTCCTTAAAATGATGATGTTTGGTTGAGTTGTACGTGTTTCTCACTCTTAAATTATCCCTTCCCTATAACCAAAAGGCATAGTTAAAATAATGTTAAGGAATAAGTGAAGTCTCTTGGAGCTTTCCTAACACCAGAGTCCTCTGTGTGTGTAGTGTAATACTTTTAAAAGTATTTATATTTAATTTTCCCTTATAAAAATCACATTTAAATTGCCAATATGATTCATGAGGAAGCCATTATTTAAATTCTCTTCGATGAAGATGTATTAAGTAAGCTCAAATATGGGCTACATTTATTCCAATGCTAATTACCGTGATTTAAATAAGAGCCTTGTAAAATACTAGTGCCAGATAAATCTAACCGCCTCATCGATCGAAATCTACCAGAGGTGGTTAGATAATTAACTTTGATTGAAAATAAAAAACATTTTGAATTACTTACATTTCATCCCATCCTAAATGTATAGTCATTTCTATCCAATCCAAACACAACAGTATAAAAAATAATTAAAAGCATTGAATTTGGCATAAAATTAATTAAAGTGATTTTCAATAATACTCCTATTAACTACAACATTAGACTTAAACTCCAGCATCATATTAATTTTTACTCTCTTATTATTTTTATTGAAAACGAGCATATATAAAAGTATATTTAATACTATTTAAAAGTATTAAATACCTTATAAAAAGGTCAAGAACACCTTTCAGAAGATGCATGACGGCATAAGGATCGGATGAAGGATTTAATATAACAAATTATATATATAAAGTTATAAAAATATCTAATTAATCAAATTTATAATAGAGATAATTTTGAAAATATAGTTAATACCTCACTCGGCAACTTAAGAAATATCAGATTTTTTCTGAAAGGTAGCGTCTTATTATTAGAGAGGGATGGAGCATATATACTCTTTTTTTTTTTGACGGAATGTGCATTACAAAATCGTATCTTATTTAATAATTTTCTTGATTTCTTTTCTTTTTTTTTTGGCCAGAATAATTTTCTTGATTTCTACAACAATATTTTTATGCCACTTTATATCAAGGAGGCGGAGCAAATTTGATTAATTTTTTAAAGTCTATATATGTAAGGTGATTACTGCTATAAATGATTTGGAGTAGGTAATTAGTAATTTCCCTTATTTGAGACCGGCAATTAATGTGGGCAAGTTCCTGTGCGACTAGTCAGACTGTATTCTCAAGCCAACATTTACGAACCGTTGATGATGGTTTGATAAAGCAGGTCCCACCTCATTAAAACAGTGATCATTAAAGAGGTCCACGTGTACGACTCATATCTATAGGAACATGCGAGGAAGATAGCTTTCCCTTTTGGTGGGTCCGTAATAGCGTGGTCCGTGGAGTACCATGTATATCTTTTTATACACACGAGGCAACACGCTCTTTGACTGTTCCTCCATATGTCTGGTACTTCACTGTTAAACCCAAAAGTACTGTTTGGAATTTGGATTGGAATTGGATTTCATATTTCCCAATGAACATTTTTTTCCTTTTAAAAAGAATCAGTCTTGAAAACACATTTCATAATATAATTTATAATATAAAATGGATTTTATATTTAGAAAAAAAAATACTACTCACTCTTTTTTGTTATGAAAAACTGTTTGAATATTTTAATTTATTTATTTTTAATATAAAAGTTATATTTACTTTTATCTATTATATTAAATATTTTTTCTACAATATATTTATTTAATTTCCGATTGATGCCGTATCTAAATAACTCAAATGTCACTGATAGGAAAATTTTAAGGAAGGTATCGCAAACTTTGAAATTTAAATTGTAAATAACTAATTTAAATTTTTTCTTGACTTTTTTTGAAAAAGGAAATAAATCAATTGCTATTTAATTCTGACACTCTCTAATTTGAATTTGACCTGCGTTTCTTTGAAGCAGTAATTCTTTAAGAATTTTTTATTTTTGAAAATTAAAGGAAAAACTTTAGAAAAAGAATTATGAAATTAGCGTTTTCTAATTCAGGTACCTAACGCTCTAAAATGACAGAAAACAAAATAAACTCAAATTAAAATTTTGAAATTTTAAAATAATAACAAAAATGCCCATTTGTTAATTCCATTAAAAAATGTATTATTAATTCTAAATCGAGACTTGTAATTTTATAATCAGAACTTATTATTATCAGATAAATTGTTGTCATTTTTAATTGACTCACATGTTATTTTACATGTTATTCATAAGGAAAAAATATGTTAACCCAAATTGAGATTTATAATTTCACAATCAGTACTTATTATTTTTAGATAAATTGTCATTTTTAATTGATTCACAAGTTATTTTATATGTTATGTATAAAAAAAAAAAGTTGTTAATCTCAAATTGAGATTTGTTATTTTAAAATTAGAATTTGTTGTTCTCAAATGTATTACTATTCACATACAAGTATTTTTTTTTATCATTTTTCTTAAATTTCAAAATTTTAATTTGAGCTGACTTCTCCTTTACCATTTTAAAGTATTAGTTGTCTAAATTGAAAAATATTAATTTCTTGGGTTTTTTCTAGAATTTTTTCAAAACTAAACGTAAAATTACATTTAAAGGTGAAATCATTTTATTTGATATAAGGTATAATTATTAGTTAATATTTTTCTTCTTAAATTTGTTGATTGATTTTGCATGTAGATGTTCCTTGCGCATGTTATGTATCACAATAATTCTAACATTAATTTATTAAAATACCACTGATGAAAGTCATTGTAAGATTAGGACGTGAAAGACGTGGATTTTACACATGATAAGATAACTCAGAGATGGGACGCAAATAATATTATATTAAATAGAGATGGCGTCACATCATCACTAATAATTTCGAATAATTAAAGCATCTCAGGGGACGCTCATTATCATTTTATTTAGTGTTAAACACCAAATTTTTTTCCCCCGTCAAACAACAAATTTTTTTAATCAATTTCACGTTCACCCATTGATATTAAGGGAATTTGCATGGAAGGGTCATTTTAATGCAAATATTTTAATAAGATGTTTCAAGAAAATCAAGATATATTTTCAATAAACAATTAATTTAATTATTTTTCAAAATTAATCAAGTATCTTTTATACTACCTCCGGTTCTAATTATAAGAGCCAGTTGACTAAATTGAGGAGATTAAGGAAGTAAGTTGAGTTAGTTATTTGTCCTAAATAGGTGTTGTTTTTCCTAAAATATCCTTGCTAGTCAAGTGTATTGACTAGAACTATTATTGTTAGAAGGGTTACTTTGAAAAAAATGTATAAATATGAGAGACAAAGTGGATTGAGATCTTATATCTAGGATCAAAATAAAAGTCAAACAGAGTCTTATATTAAGGATCGGAGGCAGTATTAAACAAAGTGGCACAAGACGTGTTTAGTTTGACACTTTGACATTTGAAAGGTTAAAAAAATATTGGCGCATCAAAACGTAAATTTACATATATTATTTTTATTTATGGGCCTTGCGATGTCGGAGGAGTTCAACTTTTTCGTTTTTCTAATAACAAAAATAGTTTTGATCGATAAAAATATATATATATATATATATATTGATGGAGATGTACAGAGTAAATTCCAGTATTTTGCTGGTAAAAAAAAGTTCCAGTATTAATATCTGGCAACCAAAGGTCCAGTATTAATTGATCAAGTCGGGAAAAAAAGGCTGGCAAAAAAAAAGAAGGAAAAAACCTCGATAAATCTCGCTTTACACATTATACATGCATAGATACATATTCCAGATAAGACAAAGAAGGATGCGCCTGGGATGAGGGATCAACAAAATAATTGAGGTTAGGTTTAATTTATAAATACTGTTTCTATATTCTTTCCCAGTCACTTGGATATCACTTTACCGCCCAGGAAGGGATGTGCCTTGCCTTTTCATTTTATTGCAGGCCAATCCTCGCTTCTTTTTTTTTATTATTTAAATTTTCATATATTATTAATCTAGCTTTTGAAACGTTGTTCCTACCTTCTTTTTTAAGCTTAGTTTTTAATATGTCATTAACATTAATATTCTACTACTCGTATATAATATAGAATTCATATGAAGCTGCGTTATTAAAAATAAGAATCACATTTTCCTTATTTTAATTATTTCATATTTCTAAAGCAAGACTTGCTGGCTGTTATCACCTAAGTTTCATGTAATAACAAAAAGACGTATTTTTAATTTGATTATCCCACAAAAATAGCTTATCTTTTGGGGAAAAAATAGATTATCCTTTTTTTTTTTTTTAACAACTTCCAACTCTTCCCTTTTCTTTTTTCTTTTTCTTTTCTTTGTAATATAAGGATGATATGAAACCTTCAAATATCTATCTACTCCACATACTATTAACTGTAATGTATCATGGATTAATTAAATTAGCACAACCTAGCGATTTAGTTGAGGCAAACTAAAACACACAATTTAGTTGGTAGGCTAATAATAATAAGATGAAGTTATACTTCAAAGTACTACTATTTTTTCAATGACACTCATTATCTTTAATTTAAAATGTTTGTTGTTACAGAAAAAATATTTTAAAAATAAAATTGCATTAAAGTAAAAAAAATTATTTGAGGCAGTAAATGCCCTGAAAAGTTAATTTAGAGTATTAAAAAAAATATGGATGCAACTTAATAGTGGTTTATTTAATCAAATAATTTACCCTTCAGAAAAAGAAAAAAAGGAGGGAGAAAGAAAAAGGAAGAAAGAGAAAGAGCGGTGCACAACTAGTGAAGAAGACGAGAAAGAAAAGAACATGTAGGGAAGGTAAAGTTAGTGGTTTCTACCATCACCTTTATTTGTTCCCCATAAGTCAGAAGCTCGACCCCAGGCACAGGCAGCCCTCCGTTCATTCCATTCGTTCTCAGATTCACAGGACACAACGGAAAGAAAGAGAACCAAAGGACGACTCACACACATATCTTCCACGTCAACGTCCTCAACTTCTCAACCGAAATCCCAGTTTCTTCTTCCCCTTGTATATCCCATTGCGTGAAGTTTTCGCCCAGTTACTGCCTTCCTTCCTGTTTCTGTGGCCTTCACCTAACATTGTTTCGCTCACAAGATTTCCTCCCTCAAAGTGGGTTTGGAGCAGAAATTCCTGACTGTGGGTTCTCATGGGCAACTCATTTGGGTGCTCTGCCTCCGGCGAGAGGCTGGTGTCGGCGGCGAGGGATGGTGATTTGGTTGAGGCCAAGATGCTTCTGGACTTTAACCCTTGTCTTGCCAAGTATTCTACTTTTGGTGGTCTCAATTCACCTCTCCATTTCGCAGCCGCCAAGGGCCATAACGAGGTTTCGTGTCCTTAATTTTTCTGTTTCGAGGTTTTAATTTGACCAATTCAGTATCCGTTTGATTCTCATGGTATTTTGCTTTCGTGTCAATTAGATTGTGGCATTGTTGCTTGAAAGTGGTGCTGATGTGAACTCGAGAAATTATTGCGGGCAGGTGCGATTTTCGTCTATTCCATTCTCTCTTTATGGCCGATTGATCATGGTTTTATGTTTGATTTTTTTTTTTTGGGAATTCGATTTGGGTTGGCCAACTTTCCCGATGTGATGACATATGGTGGGCAAGATTCGGCAGTGAATTTTTATTGAGTTTTGAGGTTTTGTTTTGTATATGAAATTGGAAATCAGATTTCACTTTTTGGTCACATCTAAGAAAAATTAAGAGTATGATTTCATCCCATGCAATGAAGTGTTGTCTGTCTTATCTACAGTGAGTGAAAATCGATGGATCTGGGTTCTGGTATTGATTTAATTGACGCCAATATGATATGACGAAACTTTATGAATTGAGATGCTACGTATTCTTTTTTCTAAATTTTTGTACTTGCATATGCTGTACTAACTTGAGATCATGATTCACTTTGATGCATGATATGAAGACGGCCCTGATGCAAGCTTGTAGATATGGACATTGGGAAGTTGTACAGACCCTTATGCTTTTCCGATGCAACGTGAGTCCTGTTAAACTGTCTTCGTTTAGCCCTGGCCATTATCAATTCTATCTATGTAAACTGCATACTTGCTCTTCCAGCCCCTTAATTTTCTCTGTTCATGGTTAAGCCTGCTTATAAGAACAACCAGACTGTACTCAATTCTCAGGTTATGAGAGCAGATTATCTTAGTGGGAGGACAGCTCTCCACTTTGCAGCTGTAAATGGGCACGTGAGATGCATCAGACTTGTTGTGGCTGACTTCGTTCCAAGCAATCTTAATGAAGTTAAAGATGTTGGCTCAGATGCTGAAAGAGCTAACGGCTCAAATGTGAAGAACAAGCATGATCAGAGGTATCCCTTTTTCTTCTTGTGATGTATATGTTAAAATTACTATGTTTTCGTGCTTATAAAGTCAGTCGCATAGCTACCACCAGCATAATCAAGACTAAGATATAGTGTTGATTGCATAGGCCATGCATGATTTTGCTGCAGAAATTTATGAAATTGATATTTTTCTTTTGGGTAATATTTTGGCTTCACTGCACTGATTACATGCAGTACAGAATTTTTTATTTCTATATTTTGTATTCTTTCTATTTATTTACCTTGTTCCAGTGCAGTGCGTTGTCCAAGTTTGTAAATAAGACAGCTGATGGTGGTATCACTGCACTTCATATGGCCGCTTTAAATGGGTATTTTGATTGTGTACAACTACTACTTGACCTTAATGCAAATCTGTCAGCTGTGACATTTCATTATGGAACGTCAATGGATTTAATAGGTATATGTTTTCTTTAATTTGATAAATATTATTAAGGTTGCTTTCCCCCTCAAAAAGAATAACAAAATTGTGCTTTATTAAAGGAGCTGGAAGCACTCCATTGCATTATGCTGCTTGTGGGGGAAATTTAAAATGTTGTCAGGTAAGAATTTCTTCATTTTTTACGTATTATATACCTGCTACCTCTGGTTCTTTCCATTCGATATAACAATGATGTTCCTCACCCTCAGATCCTCCTGGCAAGGGGTGCAAGTCGGATGGCTTTAAACTGCAATGGGTATGATATTAGATTTGTGAGGATGACCATAGAATTTTCATCTTATTGAAGAAAACCAATCTAAATTGGAATATTTTCCCGCAGGTGGCTTCCTCTTGATGTTGCTAGGATGTGGGGGCGCCATTGGCTTGAACCGTTGCTGGCACCCACTGCTGATGCCACAATACCGACATTCCCTTCTTCAAATTACTTGTGCTTGCCTCTCATGAGTGTGCTTAACATAGCCAGGTATTATGCAGTCAACCACATTTGTTGAGATTGAAATGAAAAACAGATTTATGGATCGTTTGAAAAAATATTAGGGACTGGCGAGGAGGTAAGGGCAAAAGAGACAGGATAAGAATTTAGGAATCTGTGAAAGCACTCTCCTTAGGTCAGAATTTGGGGGCATAGAATTTTCTTGTTTTGCTGGCCAACTCCAATTTAGCTTATGCATAATCTCTGAAATATACAACAGTTGGAATAGAACTCTGAAACAGAGTGTCTTTCCCAGGACTCTAGTCACGAACCCTGAGTATAGCCCATCTTTCTGAGCCTTTGTGCTTGGTGAACTTTCCACAACTCTGTAACTAGGTTACTGATAATTATGTTATAAAATGCTTGATATATAGGTTAATTAGCAGAGTACATGATGCAATCATCTTCGCCCTCCTCTCCTCTCGAGAGAGAAAAATATTAAGTGGATAATCTCTTTGTTTCATGATAAGCTTATAGAGAAGTGAAAGCAAAAATAATTCTCTGCAGTTCACTCCTGTTATAAGTAGTACTAAGAATGCTGTGAAATAACTGCAGGGAGTGTGGATTGCAGTCATCTTCGCCCTCCCCTCATGAGACTGATTTATGTGCTATCTGCCTGGAGAGGCCGTGTTCAGTAGCCGCAGAAGGTACTTAGTTTGTCGATCTTATAGATACTGCTCTGTCTGCTTTAATTAATCATAGGAACCCTTAGCCTTGACTAGTTATAATAGTAAGACTATTTATTGTCCTTCACCTTGGTATTTTGCTTTGTTTGCAATTAATAGTTTTTGTTAAGTGGAGGTTTATGATTAGTTTTATAGATATTGCCAATAAACCACTTTACATGAAAGGTCTTTGGAGATGAAGTGCAGGCAAAACGTAGGCTCACCATACTTTATATTGAAACTCAAGTTTGATTAAGAGAATTGACACAGCAAGGATTGGACTTTTGACCTGTTAGACATTGAGTTTTCAATCTTGTGTCTAGGACCGCTTAAATGATTAAGCCTTTGGTTTGAAGTTTTCTGGGCATAATAGGAAAACGAGCTCACAAAACAAGGAAATCAAGCAACGTATATCATTGAAACACTTCATCGTCATTCATTTTTGAAAAAAAGGGGGGGGGGTTGGGAATATTATCCCATCCTTCCATTGATCAGTATAGGTAGCATCAGATTGCAACCTTTGTTGCTTCCTGAACTTGATATGTACACATGGCAAACTCATTGATGAGTTACCCAGTCACTTCTTTAGGTCATTAGATGGAATGTTAAGAAATTCTGGCTTATGGTACTTTCCATCTGTACGGGAACAGTTAAGTGATTTAAATGGACTTTCACATGCAGGATGTGGACATGGGCTTTGTGTTAGATGTGCACTCTATCTTTGCTCAACCAGCAACGTTCCTTCTGAAATGCTTGGCCCTCCTGGCTCCATACCTTGCCCATTGTGTAGGCACGCAGTTGTGTCTTTTGTCAAGTTACCTGGTTCTCATGCAAAAGAAAATAAACTGCATGTGTCTCTTGGCCTATGTACCCCATGCATGCTACATCGTGACCCAGATCGGCCTCCCCTTTCTCACACACCTGATATTCAAGGAAACCGTGTGGCTTCTGTGCCTTCAGATATACTCTGTCCAGTCACTTGTAGCCCATTCCCATCTATGGCAATTCCACTGTGTACCTGTAATGATGGTCCCTGTCCTTCATATGAACCCCGTGAAGCCGAAACAGAAGATGAATCACGTTCACAAGCATCGACAGTGGATCAGGATAAAATGGAAGGGCCAAGACTGGAGAAGACAACTTGTTCAAGCATGTTTTGGGGTAGAAGAAGTTGCAGCAGGGAGCACCGGTGCAACTCAGAAATAAATGCCTGACCAGTTTGGTGGTTGTATCGCCGTTGTGGATACAAGTACAGACCCGTCAACGGGTCTGTTTTGCTTCACAGGCTGTATACCCTAGATGTGATAAATACAGGTCCGTTTTCTTTTGAGGCATCCTGAACACCCTCTAGATGCCTGCATATGGTATTTAGGGAGAGTTTGTAAAATTAGTGCTCTTAGATTGTAACTGATTGCTATTGGATTTCATCTGAGAAAAGAAATAGTGATTTTTTACAGGAAAAACTAAGGGAGACGCCTCCTTTTCTTTTAGGGTGTGTATTAGAGTAGCAAGTTCTTTTATGTATATTATGTTTCTCCGGAAAATTTAAGGTATACAAAGAGCGAATTTGGGGAGTTAAGTGGCCCTGTGAAATAGTGGCTTTCGCAACAGTTGCCTTTGTGATAATATGATCTAATTTTAATATTCTCTTTAAGGGAAAAGGGGGGGGGGGAAAAAAGAGGGTCAAGTAGTGGGTTGCAGAGGAAAATATTTGATGTATTGTTTTGCATATGAAAAGCGAATGAATGTTTTCCACGTGGGTGAGCTCTGCCCCATCCGAAAATGGCTAAATTTGGATGCTTTCAAGTAAAAAATTCGTAAAATGTTTTTACCTATATTTATTCTTCCCTTTTGAGTTTTATAAGCGCTTCAATGGCTTATTATTTCACAGAAGATTCATATTTAAATATCCACATCCCCCAAAGTCAATTTGTCAGTCTCTTGCTATGAATTTGTTCTTTTGTTGCTATTTCTTTGTTTTGCCAGACTTTTGTAGCTAATGCAGGGGATATTCAGTAGAGTTGGCTCATTTTCAACCGCTTGTATTGAAAAGAGAGAAAGACACAGATTCTGAAAACATGATAAGTATTTGAAATTTAAAAAAGCTAAGTATTAAAAAATTGAAGAAAAAGGAGTAATGAGAACATTGAAAGATTTAATATTGGAAAAAATTTAAATTGAGTCCTTAGAAAAAAAACTAGAGAACAATTTCAGCAAAGAACATTGGTTTATATTTAAAATTTCTAAAATTTGCGGTTATTAATTGTAATTAATATAGTGAGAAGGACATCAAATGTCACTTTCTCCTCACAAATTTGAAGTCTAGCATAAGCGGTGTAAGATAACAAAGGCATTATCAATTGATGAGAAATCAACGGAGACGGATATGATAAATAGTCAAGTCAATCGAATTACAATTCATTTTTTCCGATAACTAACAAATTACCTTTTTCAACGTAGCCAGCTAATTAAACAAAATACTTTCTTTTGGCAACAAGTAAACAAAATAATTAAATTTGACAACTTAAAAACCAGGCCCCCCCAAAAAAAAAAAAAACTGGCCAGCAAAATCAAGTGATATCGATACTATATTGTATTCACTTTGTATGATGTGGCGGTTTTGGGCAATGGCTGCTACAATAAAAGTCGTTAATATGAATAAAACTACTCATTAAAGCTATATGCTATTATTTCCATTGGCAACGTAGTTTAAGTAGTTAAAAACTTACTCATAAAAAACCCCTCAGTGGATTTTTCAACAAACAAAAAAACCAAAAAAAGCTTGCATAACACATACAATAATCAATTCGTATTTCTTTTATACAATTCTTAAAGCTCAAATCTCTTTTACAAAGATTTAACATTTAAGTACTCATGAACACAAACAGTGTGTCGGAAACAAAGCAAAGCAAAAGGTGACAAGCAGAAGCCTTAATTGATAACCATCCGTAATCGGTATCCAAACCCTACGAACTTGAGAACAAGTGAACAGTACAAGGCTATATAGTAAATGGACTTAGAATGGGTTACCAACTTATCATCCAAGGCCGAGAGAGAGAGAGAGAGAGAGTAATGCAAAAGAATATAAGTGAATATGAATCTCACTCTCTCTCTTTAATTATTTCTCCCCCAAAGGCACATAATGAATTTATTCGCTTAGTAATAATAATAATTGAAGAGCGAGTATTCGGATCTGTTAGGGTTCTTTATCTTCTTCTTGCAGCAGTCTCTCTCTGGGCGTTGAAGTAAACAGCAGCAACAGGTAAGCCCAAGCCATTATCCTCAGAGAAACTTCTTGTGTTGAAATGATCTCTCGAGGTTGGTCCCCTCACTGTTTGTCTTCCTCTCTGCTTGAACAGTATGAATACGTATCTGTGGATCCCTATCACTGGCCTCGGGCTCTCATACCCCACTATCTCTCTTCCTGCAATATTTTATATATTAATTTTATCTCTCTCTCAGTGTCTGCACATTTCCTTCTCAACAATAACAGTATAGCTACAAATATATCTATCAGCTTGTCGTAATATTTAGGAATATGAACAACGACAAGAAGAATCGTCTAATTAAGCAGCTTAGAGTACTTACCAAAGGAAGCGTCCGTGGTCCCAGGAATATCTGTCACCATCCTGCAGGAAAGTGACACCAACTTGTTGGGAATAAAGAACAGAAGCTTTTCTGTGTGATATGTACAGCTTAGAGAAATTTTAAGAAACAAACCAGTGAAGATGTTCCCTTAGGTATGGATCACTAGGACTTGGAGCATCTGGGTCTGTCATAATCTACAAATTCACACAAGTTCGACGCAAAAACTTAACCCAAGAGGATATACGTAACTTAACAGTAGAATATATACATATATACAGAAAAATGAAGCATTGTTTCAATATGTAAGTGCTAGGGGGTAACTTTTTAGCGCTAGATACAAGTGATTAACTTTCTGTAAATCCTTGACCTGAGAGATCTGGATTCTTTCTCAAACATGAAGGAAAATGAAAGATGGAAAAATTGGACTCTATGAGACGATCGACTCTAAAAATATTACATCCTAAACTCAAACAGGTGAGTCTCTCACTTGTTACCTCTCCTTTTCGTTTTCTCTTATCCAAGAATATTCTCGCGCGGACTAAGATGACAGGAATACTATGTAACTGCAACATTTAAAAAAAAAAAAAAAACCAAAGACTTAAGACAGAAATGAGAAACTTACTAAGGTATATGCAGATCTCATGTCATCACCGCCAATGTCCACTCTTGGTTTGGCAACAACCATTGAAGGCATTAACTCATGACCATTAGCAACTCGAACGTTGGGATTGTAGGTCACGTTCATTCTCACACTAGGGCTGAATGCATCAATAACCTCTCCTATCACTCTTCCCACTGTAAGTGGCTCCATAACCCTAGAGATTAATATACAGATAGATCAGAAGAAGAAGACGACGATGATGGGGTGGTGATGAGAAAGAAGGGTTTGGCTATACAAGTGAAGCGAGATCTTGAAAGCATTTATATAAGTGTCATGTGTTTGGAAGCATAAAGGAATCTAGATTCCATAAAGGCTTGTCTAAATGGGGAAAGGACATGTGTTGTGTTTTCACAAAGTTGGCTTGTCTATTTCTGCTAAATGGGCGAGTAGAACACGCAAGAGAGTTTGATGATTTTGTACATTTGTGTTACTTAGGAGATCCCTCATGAGAGATTAATACGAGTTTGTAATTTTTTTTCCCCTGTTAATGGCAGAATCTGGCATAAATGGATGTCTTTGGCTTATTGGGTGAAAGGGAATGAAGAATACAACTTTTTTTGCCCACTTTAATATAATATCTTTGGCGAATGGGAATTCACTTTTTGATAAGGTGCTAATGTCCATGCACATGTTTTCTCATCAACTTCGGGGAATTTGATTTTTAATTCACCACTCAACGAAGAGATCGCGGCATGAACCCTAGATTTATATTTGAAAGGAGGAAAGTTAGTTCTATTTACTTATATTTATTAAGTCCAATTCTCTGATCAAATCTTAGCACATGGACTTTTCTAAATAATAAATTTTCACATCGATGAAATTTTAAATTCTGTTAGACTTTTATTAATAACAAAAATTACACATGGCAAGATTTGATTGGAGAATTATACCCAATGAGTGTGAACAAATAAACTTAAGTTTTGTCCTATTGGAATTGGAACGTTTAATTTATTGAAATTGGCCAATGAACAAAACTCCAGTTTTCTTAATTTAAGGAAGAAGCGGAGCCAATGAGATGAGCGAAAGAGGCATAAGAAATATTATTCAATCATTATATCAATATGAAATTTGAAATTTCTAATAATCAAACATTTAGAAGTCTTATGATTCATTGTTTTTGCCAACACATATGATTCATTTATTAGACTATGTACAGTAGTATGACTATGTGCGATGTAAAGAAAAATATGCCTAGTTTAATTTAATATCCAAAGTTTGCCGCATGTTTTAGCCTTGTGGTTTTCAATTAACTTATAGTATAGAATCAAAACAATATGCTAATTAGAATTCTTTTTTAAGCGACTATAATTAAGGAGTTGAGTAGTGTGTGGATGTGTTGCCTTGTTCTTGAAGAAGTATTAATTTTAGCAAAATTTAGTACTCTAGGGTACTAAACAGCACATTAATTTTTTCTGTAGAATCAATCGCCTCTTAATCTAATCATCCCTAACAATGATTAACATCTTAATTTGATCGTTTTGAAGAAAAAAATCTCTCAGTCACAGAGCACCCTTTTAAATCACATAGATTAAAAAATTAAAATAGTTAGCTTCTATTGTTTTTTTAAAACACTTTAACGTAAATTAAATAGGAGTATTTTTGTTAACACGTCCTAAATGCTAAATCGTGATCTCAAAAAAATCCTGTATTCATTTAGGACCGACGAAAAAAGGTCAGATATTAAGGACAACTCAAAAGGGATTTTCCCTTTTGGGATCACATTTATGCATGTTATTAATCCATTTGTCAATATCACAAGCACTGATCATTTCTGGATCCAGTTCTTCAAAGAGACAGGATAAATAAGTAACATTTGTCAACAATTAAATTAAGATAACAAATAAAAAATCTAATGATCTTTGAAGGACAAAAATGCTAGCTAATCAACTATATAATTGGATTCCTTGGGAATTTTTACTAATAATGCGCCACATATTTACCTCCTGATAAGCAAGGACATCACGCAAAAGAGGAAGGAAAGGAATAAGCACAAAAATGAACAGACGAGAGAGGAAAATTCATTGGCCACTCGCACATATTGATTAGTATTTCACCAATCAATTCCATGAAATTGGATTCAGTCTCAGTATTTCAGTGACTTTATAAGATTCATGCATATATCTCTCAATTACACGTGGCCTTCTAATATGATCGTTGACTAAGTTTTATCATTTTAATAGGAATCTGAATAGCAAATAGCAAAAGTTTCAAATAAGAGAAATTATACAAAGGAAGGGCCAGTTGTGCAGAAGAATCCTTGTTTATTACAGAACAAGTGTCCTTCTCCATTCTTCTTTTTATCCAAAACTACTGCTCAACATTCACATCTGTCATAGTCTCCACCAGAAGAACCAAAATATCTGTAAAAATATCCAACAAGTGTATAGGTTTATTTTAGAGATTTGGTACAAATATTATATATAATCCTTAATTTTATGTAGAAAATCTAAATCTCTATGATCAGTTGAACATATGAATGAATTGGGATTAAAAGAAATCATATGATTGTTATTTATGTATTTTTTTTTTAAATATTTTGGTTGATAATTGAATCCCATGTGATCTTGGAAAAGTAATTGAAAGGGAGGGTGAGAATTTGGGGAATAATGAAGGAGTGAGAAGAAGACACGTCGGTGTGTGTAATTTGCAGAATATGTTTGTCTGCCAATATACAAATCTTTTGTTCCTAAATCTGGAAACGCCATTCTCAGTGTCTCTGATTCCACAATTCATCTTTGACTCACTTCCTTGTCTCTTCCTCTGTATCACCACCAATCACCCCTCTGTCTTTCAACTGTTTCCATCATTATCTTCATTATTATACACCTGTCCACCCTTCATCAAATTTCCCCTTTTGGTCTAAATAAAACAGTAATAAAAGCATTTAATTTATTAGCTCTGCATCTGATCTGCAGAAAATTAAAAGAAATTAGGATATCCATTTATTCACTGGAAGGTAAGTCAGTCCACATCAAGCATTGTTTGATTATTTCCCTCATTCCCTCATCACGTGTACATCTAACTGCATCACACAAATGCATGAGCTATTCTGTACAAGATCTTCTGAAGAACAGTACAATTGTGATCATCACTATATGTAGAAGAACATTATTATTATTATTATTTTTTGGGGATAATGTAGAAGAACATTAATTTACACTATCATGGTAGCTTCATGCATCTAATTAAGAGTACTTGCTTAGGTTTCCACAGTCAAAATCAGACATCTTCAACAGAAAACCAGCTAAAAATGCAGACAAGAATTTATCTCTCAGAAAGGACACCCATTTGGATTCACCCTCCTGAAAAAAACCCACCACGTAAGATATAAATATCAGAGTTATGCTTCTCCATCGTCTCTCCTGGGCAAATTTCTTCAAGCTGGCCTCGATCCTCTTATACTCCTCCTTTTCTTCATCCTTCTTCTTCTCCATATCTCCACCTGCTTTTGCAGAGAAGGCCTCTGCAAGACACCTGGCTAATACAACCCCATCCTCTAAAGCACAACACCCTCCCTGCCCAATATCAGGGGTCATGGGGTGAAATGCGTCTCCAGTAACGCACACATTGCCTTTGCTGATATTTCCCATCACTAACTCCCATGGATGTCTGTATCTCAGTGGAGATGATATGAAATGATTCAAATCAGTTTTTTCTATGAAGGCCCTTATATGACTTGGCATGTTCTCTAGCTTCTCTAACACATATTGCTTCATTTTACATGGGTTGTCTTCTATCTTCTTTTCTGCATAATAACACAAAACAAGTAGATGAGTATGGTTGAGACTTGCACTTATGTTAACTTCTACTCATCAGATGATAATTCGCATATATGACACAGAAGTTACTTTTTTGCAATTAAAATTGTTACATTCAACATACTTCTCTTTTGGAAACGTTTCAAAAGTATAGGTTACTAGGCAAACTGTCACAAAGTCTGGATTGTTCTCATGAACAATCTCGGCGTTTTTGTGAGAAAAGGATTCACCTTGGGCAGCGGGAGTCCAAGTAAAAGCCCAATAAACAGTCTTGTCATCACAAGGAATAACAGCACTTCTAAAGCCTTTCCCAAAGAATTGCATAAACTTGGGTTCAAGATCATGTCTACTGGTCAACGTAGCACAGCCCCTAATTGCAGATCTGCCTGAGGAAGAAGCCCTTTTAAAACCTAGCCACTTTGCTACTATTGAGTTCACTCCATCACACCCAAGCAGAACCTACTCATTGATCACCACCCAAATGAATCTGTTTGAGCCTTTAAGGTACGTAGTGATGCATGTAACATTTGATTAATCGCTATACACCACCTTGGTTTTGATGACAGTTCCATCAGCGAGATGAACAAGTTTACTGAAACCAGATTCCTCAATAGCTACCAGCTTTGATGAAAACCTGATAGTGCCACTTGGAAGCTCATTTGCAAGAGCTTCCAGCATTACTTGTCGCAGAACACAGCGTATCTCATGGCCTCCACTGCATTGCATACACATATCAAACCCATCTCACATCATTTGTATATTAATCAGTGTAATGAATAAATATAGAAGTATGGCTAGAGTAGTTCAAAGCTCAATTCAAATATCTCATATGGGCAGGTCATGTTACTGATCAGGTGATGATGCAGCGTTAGAGTCAGTCTTTTAAGAATGAGAAACTTCTATATTGGATTCTGAGAAGTTGAGTGAAAATGGATAATGCCTGTGTGAAAGTGCTAGCTAGTGAAAGGATTATAATTTATATAATTATGTAGTGTGAATTTAGCGTCTTCATTTGTATATTGGACTTGCTGTTTTCCCGTGGTGTTGATGAAAGATGTTTTTGAAGTTTGTTGTCCCGTGATCAAAGATGTTGTTACATTCCTGCACTCCATTCGTTTGTTTGTCATTAATATACGAGAAGCAAATTATAACTGATAAGAAAAGGAATACAGAAACACTTAGACTAATATATGGATCTTCGGATTGATATATAACAGTTGTAGTATGGCATACTTCTGGCATATGGGTTTTACAAAAAGTGAAACGCGCTATTATATGCCCATCTTTTTTCTTACTTTAAGCAAAGTTACTATAGAAAATCCAATCTATACTCGGAAAGCAGAGGACGGTACTATACTTCTCACAGGTGGGTACTAAAATATCAATTATATATAAGAGGAACTTAAGTCCAGAGGCAAGCGTGTGTCTTCTATATCACAATCTTAATCTTTGAGCTCTCTCCCCCTGTGTGTGTGTGTGTGTGATTGTAATACATATGACCTGCTCTAATCGATCGCAGAACATCCAATTTCAACTACACAATGGACATAGGATTACCCGCAAATCTGGAGGTGGTTTTGGCGAAGGATGTAGCCAATGCCAAGAGCATCCAAGGCCTTCCAAGCGTTTGTCCATGTTGTAAGAGCAAAACCTGTGACTCTCAAGCTATTCCAAGACTCTAACACCAAACTTCGAACACCCAACCTGCAATATATATATATATATATATATGCACAGGCATCAAAACACCAAGAAGAAGAAGATGACTCTGTTGACACTTGAAATTAACAGAGAATTAATGGAGAGGTACCTGTGAAGTCCCAAGGATGTTGCAAGGCCAGAAATCCCAGCACCCACAATCACAATATCTTCAACCAGTGATTCCATTCTAATATCTCTATCACTTGCGTTAATTCCGTCGAGTTCAGCCTTATCTTTTGTGAATCCCATGTTAGGATTGAGTGGCTATAAGCAATTGTTATGTTGATACGTATTTGTATTTGTACGTGTGTGTGTTTGGAGCAACATGACAGGAGCGATGATGATGATGATGATGGAGCAATAATTGAAGATTCTGACTTTGGTTGTGAATTGCGTTCCACTTCCACAGCATCAAAAAGGAAAAAGAAAAGAAAGGAAGGTTTTGTGGAAATTTTTTGGATGCAAATATGCCACAAAAATTTAAACCAGTAGCAATATTGCTTCTTATAGCTAAAAATATCAACTGATGCTTTGAAACAGGTCCCTCCAAGTAATTCGTGGCATAAACATTGGTTGGTAATTGGTGATGTGGCTAACAGCAATACAACTTGTATCGGCAAAATTTGGAACCAGTTTCAGTGCTCATCCATTTGATGAGCACCATAAGCTAATCAGATCTGAACCGTCCATATATCATTTAATAGTTTAGATTTGATTTCTTTTTTATTTTTATTTATTTAAAATAATTATTTTAATATGTATAGAATCTAAAATAGTGATGATCTCTTAACTATCATTCTTTTAAAAAATAATTTTTTCTATTTAAAAATAATTAATTAAAGATTTTAAATCTGGACCGTTGAAATGAGATATAGACAGTTCAGATCTAATGAGCTTATGATGCTCATCAAAGAGATGAGCACCGAAACTGGTTCCGGCAAAATTTCACATGAATCAATTTTGTCTTTTACTACCTTCGGTCCTTAATATAAAAACTTGTTAGACTTTTATTTTGATCCTAAATGTAAGACCTTAATTTACTTTGTCTTTATATTTATCTATTTTTTTTTCAAGATAGTCCTTATAATAATGGTAATTCTAATTAATACACTTGATTATTGAAGATATTTTAGGAAAGACATTTATTTATTATTTAATATATTCAAATTAGTCAACTAGCTCTTATATTAAGTATTAGAGGTAGTATAGTACCCGGGGGAAAAATACAATCATACTCAAAATCTAGTCGTGTTCAGGTGGAACCAGATAATATATTACTACCTCCGGTCCTAATTATAAGAGTCAATTGACTAATTTGAGAAAATTAAGAAAAGAAGTTAAGTTAGTTATTTGTAATAAATGTGTGTTGTCTTTCCTAAAATATCCTTATTAATCAAGTGTGTTGACTAAAACTATAATTATTAGAAGGATTATCTTGGAAAAAATTGAGTAAATATGAGAGACAAAATGGATTGGAGTCTTATATTTAGGATTAACACAAAATTTAATTGGAATCTTATATTAAGGACCGAAGGCAGTAATTTATAATATTATAAATTTAGCCTTTCCTCATTTAAGCATCTGCGTTTAATTTATTCTCGTTTCAGAAGTCTGCAAGTCTTGGCGTTCATGGGCCTATAACTTGATGGCCCATCAAGGCATCATCCAGGCCCAGACTAGCCCATTCATCTCACCCCCAATGTTTAAAAAAAAAAAACCACATATCACAAGTATAATTTACCATTTCCATCATTCACACACACAAGTGCGTAAAAGAATTAAGGTTCTGAATATAGAAATTAGTTGGGAGGTTTACTTAGGCCTGACATCTCAATTCAGTTTTCATCTCACCCCAGTGTTATAAATTTTTTTGAAAAATTTTAAAAAAATTACTGCTATGAATTATACATATTAAAAGGTTCTATTGAAGATTATATATAAAAAAACTGACACATATTTAAACAAATTAAGAGAACTAAATACTTAATTCTAATAAATGTGATGATTTATCTAAAGTACTCTTATGTAACATCAAATTATAATAGATAAATCATTTTGGAAAAAATAAATACAAGAAATAAAATATGATAAAATATTACATGTCCTCTATTTAGATTTAGAGTAAGATGATGGAGTGTAGTGGGATGAGCCTTCTAGAAACCTTTCGAAAGTGGTATTCGACTCGTATTCTCTCCGTTATCGTGGTAACAATGTTATGTTATGTTGATATTCTTCTTGGAAAACGATATTATCTATTAATATATATTTTAAATAATTAATAAAATAGTAATAAATCTGACCAGGAACGAAAGCTAAGCCAGTGAAAGTGGAGGTGTGAGATAATGGATAATGAGAGGGAAGAGATGATATGAATGATATTACTAGCAGTAGCTAATATAATGACCATTATTATGCCCTGGACTTTTGGTTGAAGGACCAGCCTCATAATATCTTCTACGAATTTGTTCATCATGCTACCCATTCAATTTTAAAAACAAGCCAAATCTTTTCTTCTTCTTCTTCATGCAGTTAATTACAGTATTACACAGTGTTCACTCAGCAAACATTTATACATATAGATATAACATTTTTACGAAAGAATATAATAAAAATATTACTACCTCCTGTCCTTAATACTATTTCCAGTCCTTAATATAAGACTCTGTTTGACTTTTATTTTGGTCTTAAATATAAGACTCTAGTCCACTTTGTCTCTCATATTTACTCAATTTTTTCCAAGATAATTCTTCTGATAATTATAGTTCTAGTTAATACACTTGATTAGCAAGGATATTTTAGGAAAGACAACACCTATTTAGGACTAATAACTAATTCAATTTACTTCCTTAATCTCCTCAAATTAGTCAACTGGCTCTTATAATTAGAACCGGAGATAGTATAAGATATTGTTTGACTTTTATTTTAGTCCTAAATATAAGACCCCAATCCATTTTGTCTATCATATTTATATTTTTTTTTCTAAAGTAGTCCTTCTAACAATGATAGTTTTAGCCAATAAACTTGATTAGTAAGGATATTTTAAGAAAGACAATACATATTTATTAGAAATAACTAATTTAATTTCTTTTCTTAATTTCCTCAAATTAATCAACCAGCTCTTATAATTAAGACCGAAGGTAGTATTTAAAAATTATGCGTAAGTTTTGAACTCTGCTAAAATGCATCGAACCCTTGTTGGGGATTCTCTGGGTAATGTGTCTGAACTCTAGAGAAATTAAAAGTGGAGTAAATTTTTTTAACTGGTCTCAACCTTTTTAAGACAGCAACAACAATTAATAAGGGTACTATTAGAGGCTGGAACAGGAAATTAAACTAGACAGTTGATGCAAAATTTGATGATACAACTAACCCCACATGCCTGGAATTAAATTGTAAATCCCTGTCTGAGAACCTATTAATATATTAATCCGTGAAGATATCTATAAACCTTAAGTTTTATTTTGCGTTAATAAATTTCATTGTAAGCTATAGAGACTTAACTTACCTAAATTTTGATTAGAAAAATATTATTCTCTTTAGTCTTAAATACAAGGTCCATCTATCAGAGAATTTTGATCTGATCATACCCATAAGGTTATATTTCATCTTATCTCTTTCTAAATACTCTTCCGATCCTTAATATAAGACCCATTTAACTAATTTGATTAGATTAAGGAAGTTAGGTAAGTTGGTTAACTATAAGAAAAGTGACATATTTTTCTTAAAACACCATAATCATCTTTCTTAATACCTCATCTCCCTCTTCTATTTGATTATAGTTGAGGGAGTATCCATAGGGGTAATTTAGAGAAAATTGATAAATATGAGAAATGGGTCTTATATCTAGGACCAAAACCAACTTAACAATTGGGTCCTATATTAAGGACCGGAGGAGTATAATGATTGGCCTCAATTATCCAATTACATGTTTTATTATTTGTGGGGGGTAATAACTAATGATAAGAGGCTACATATTTGAAGGGGGTGGGATAATGGGCGGTGCATAGAGGGGTAGAATGGGCGGCTAAGGGCAACGTGACTATAATATTAATCCTAACTCTATAATTAGACGCATAATTTTAGTTATGGTTTAATTAATTAATTAATTAATGAGGCTGTGCCACTCTCCATTTGCCAATTACTAACCTACGACCACCCTAACTCATCATGACGCATTGCATGTTATTCCCATCATTATCTGAGATTGATGTCACCCCGTTCTTCTTCTCATTATGGTAATCCCTTTTTTGTGACACATTTTGTTCCCCAAAATGGATTAACTACTGCAAAGGTGGAAATGCCGGGATCGCTATTAAAGAGCACGTGACGAACAAGAGTTAAAAGAAAAGGTTCAATTTTAAAAAACTAGCATATTAAAAAAAAAAAAAAGTTCCTTGAACTTATAAATATCATCTCAATTGAGCACACTATTTTGTTTCACGAATTTCATTTCCATGCCCTCCGACTTGTTTTCAATACGCTATTCACCCATTACATTTAACCAATTTATAACTGACATGTCCCCTTTTTAACCACAAATATTTATTTAGCAGTGTTTTGAACCAATTAGTTTTTTCCCTTATCACCTTAGTCCATGGATACGGCTGCACACTTTAATTTCAACTCCAAGATAGATTATTAAAATAATAGATATTTTAAGAAAATCAGTTTACAGTGTTACATATCATTAACTTAACTAATTTTTATAATATGTACAAATCAGCTATGTAGTTTTTATTTTCATGATTGAAAAGAGTACTAAAAAAATGTCATTATATACCATCCTTAAAGTTAAAATACCAAGAGTATGTATGGCTATTGCCAAAAAATACTTTTAAAAAACACTTTTTCAGAAATTGAGATAAACTATTCTATATATTTACTTCATATATAATAAAATTATTTTTAAAATTATAGTTTAGTTTTCATCTAAACATCATTTGGGTCTAATTTTAGATCTAAGTTTATGATGGTTACTAATACGATGAGTTAGACAGGAAGTTCAAATTATGTTGTGACATGAATGAAAGAAAAACGGAGAGGGTGGCTAAAAAATTTAGTTGGAGTTGGTAGGAAGGAGGAAAGGTAATGAATGCGAGGAGCACCAAGGCCAGAGGAGGAGGAAGAAACGTCAAGACTCAAGAGGGGGAAAGGTAAACAGTAATAATGAGGGTAATAAATAATAATAAGAAAATGATAGCAGGTTTGATTGGAATGGTTGAACGAGAAGAAGAAAGAATACAAATGGAAATGAGAGTGAAACTCAGAGACCGAGGAAACCCACAAATGGTTCCTTGAAAATGATCACAATTCAATACTACCAACACCAAGTACCTGCCGCTGTACCAAACCCCCCGTCCCCCGCAACCACAGTTTCAGAATTTGGAATAAAA